TTCTCACCATATTTATAATGGTTATATTCTTTCTTTCTGCAGTTCCATTCTGTTGTGGAGTGTAGGATGGAACCACCTCATGCATAATCCCTTCTTTCTCACATAATATATCAAATTCTTTTGACACATCTTCTCTACCACCAACATCCCTCAGAATCTTGAGCTTTAGACCACTTTTTCTTTCGACCATAGATTTAAACTTGGAAAATACCTCGATCACTTCACTTTTCTTCTTGATCAGGTAAGTTCACAGTTCTTGACTAAAATCATCTATGAATATGACAAAGTATCTGTTACCTCCAATTAGATCCACTTGGAAAGGTCCACACACATCAGAGTATATGACTTCAAAGACTGCCTTTGACATGCTTCATGCATACTTGCTGAAGTTGTTCTTGTGATATTTTGCCTGTACACATTCTTCATACACTTCATTTGGAATGTCGATTTCTGGTAACCCTAAAACCATATTTCTTCTCTTCAGATCTATGATGTCTTTGAAATTAAGATGGCCTAGCTGATAGTGCCATATCCATTCATCCCTGCTAGATGTAGTTACAAGGCACTTGTGCTTCATCAAATTAAGTTCAATCCTGAAGGTTCTATTCTGAAACATAAGTGCCATCAAGATTGACCTTCCATCTGAGTTGAGAACTTTCATCGTCTTGTCTTTGATCAACACTTTGTAGTTCTTTTCGATCAACTGCCTTATGCTGAGCAAATTACTCTTCATGCCTAGTATGTACAATACATTGGAAATTATTGACCTATTTCCATCTTTCCTCATAATCACAACATCACCAATACCCTCAGCTACTAGAGTATTATCATTTGCAAATTTCACCATGTTCTTCATTGAAGGTTTTATGTTGACAAACCAATCTTTCCTACTAGTCATGTGTTATGAGCATCCTAAATCCAAGTATCATTGATCTTGAAATATTTCTTCATTTCTTGTTGTGACCATCAACAATATCTCTTCTTCTTCATGCTTTGAAAAAATTTGCATCATTTTCTTGGCTCTTCTGTTTTTCACCACATCTTCCTCTACCTATTGCGCCACCTCTTTCGTTGCTTTGGTATGATGACTTTCTCTGATTTGATCAGTTGAGTTGTTGTAGCCTCCTCTACTTTTGTTGTCAAACCACTTCCTTCTTCCTTTCTTTTCTCTTGATGATTGCGCCTGCAAAACCACATCACTCTTCAGCTTACCCGTAGCTCTTACATTCATCCTTTGTTCATGAGATTCAAGCGTCCATTGAAGTTCTTCCTTTGTCAAATTTGACAAATCTTTCAACTCTTCTATGGCTACTACCATGTGGTCGAACTTTGGAGCCATTGGCCTCAAGATCATTGCAATCATTGATCTTGATGTCAACATTTCTCCATATACCTTGATTTGATTCATCAGTTTTGTTACCTTAGTGAAAAAAAATCTATTATGTTTTCACTTTCTTCCATTTGAAACAATTCATACGTTCTTTTATGAGTTTGTAACTCACCTATTTCACCTTCTCCGCGCCTCAAAACGATTTCTCTAAGATTTCCCATGCTTCTTTTATTGCTTCTACATCACTGACCTTTTTAAAATTGTCTGGATCAACACATTGATAAATTATAAAGAAATATTTATAATCTTTCTTCTTCAATTCTTTGTATTCAGATTTTTCTTTGTCTAGCGCGTTTTCTACAAGTGGTGTTACTCCTTCTTTCACAAGATCCCAAAGATCTTGATAATAGAAAACAACTTTCTTCTGTTTACACCAATTCTCATAATTCTGACCTTTCAGATTGGGAGACTCTCCAGAAAATATCCATTTGAATGATGCATCTCCATTTCCATCATGTTTTTCTCTCCGCGGATCGCTCAACCAGGCTCTGATACTAGGTGTTTGAATTAAACCCAAAACTTTGAGTAATTGCGAATCAATCTTGATGAACAAGATTCAATCAATCGATCGAATTCTCTCTCTTATTCTTCAATCTTAACTCGAGTGAATCAACCAATCTTGGTTGCAATATAATCATCTCTACACAATAACAATAAAAGAAATAAAATTGAGTAAGAAAGAAGATTAGAGATTGATGGCAATTGGGAAGAAGATGATGGTTTCTGCAGAGTCTCTCTCTGCCTACAACTTGTGGAAAATCTCGTTAAATTTACAACTGCAAGTGAGTACAAGAATATTATTCAAAATAGGGGTTACTCCCTCTATTTATAATTGAGCTAGCTTGCTCCTTAAGTTAAAGCATAAAAAATTACAAAAGTACAAAATACCTATTTTGGTCTAAGTACAAAATACATATTTTGACACATCCTTATTTCTGTCGAGCACTACCTGCTTCGACACAAAGAATTACAATCTCAACAATTGTAAAGCTATGATGAGTAAGTGTAGTTAATTTTTTTCTTTTGTTGGACTTTATTGTAGTTCTAGTACTCTTGTTTTGATTCTGATCATGTTGTTCTATGTAATTCTTCTCATTCTTTAATATTTATAAACTATTTGTTCTTACTGCTTGTTTTTAATTAGTTACCGAAAACAAAATTCCATGATATCGCATAATATTAGAAAGATATTGGTCATTAAAAGATCCAAGCTTTTCATCTATCAGATATGCTAAAGTTTAGACATAGATTTTGGTTTAATATTTGTATTAACTGTTAAAACTTAATATTGTCATATTGGTTAATAGGATGAGAGATCATTTATTAGATAGTCTGACTAAATTCATACCGTTGACTCGGACATAAGTTGTGATGAGAGCTTCTGACGATAATATTAAGAGCTGATTAGAATTGTATATTATTATCAAGTGCGCTACATGAAAAGAGATCAATGAAATCTAATTGCATCAAATTTTTCAATGGTAAAACACCTAATAAATCATCCTTAAAGTTATCAAAACTATTGAAGTGTCTTTAAACACAATCAAAGACGATAAAAATACACTTACACTTTTGTACTGCAACACTTGTTAGAATTATTATTCTGAAACATTTCATATAAATTGGCAAGAATTCTTAACATGTTTCAAACAAAGTTAACACGGGCGGCCCAATTATTTCGGAGGTTTATAGTGGGCTCAAATCTATAATAAAAAAAAATACAATTACAATAATTAAAAAAACACATTAAAAATACAATTATGTATTAATTAAAAAATAAATTTAATTATAATTATTTTGAGTTTTGATTAATTTCAATTTTTGTATGTATTGAATTTTTATTATAATATTTTTTGATTTATTGAATTTTTATTATAACATTTTATTTTATTTTATTAATATTTATAAAAATAATAGACATCTTAAAATATTAGACTTTCCAAAATATAAAATCATGTGCTATAGAGCATGCTGCACTTGCACAAGAGTGACCCTAAAAATTAATAAACAACCAAAAGTAAAAACCACAAACAAATGCTGCAACATGACTCTCAAATATTACCGTACTTGTTTACTCTCAACTAATTCTTTAAATTAAAAAGATAAAAAACATTTACATTGTTTGATTATGATTAGAATAAATAAAATTATAAATTATTTAGAGCTTGTTTGAATTAGTTTTAATTTTTAATTTGTAAAATTTGTTTCATACATTATTTTTTAAAAATAGTTTTGAAAAATAAATAAATAAATAAATAAAAACTTATTTTATAATCTTACTTTTAAAAATTATTTTGATATTACACAATATTAAAAAATTTATTATTAATGAAAGGTATATCACTTTTCATTGTTTTTTTCTCTTCACAATTTTATAAACTAAAAACCAAAATTTCTAAAATCCATTTTAGTTTTTTAATTTTTAAAACTCTTAAATAGAGAATAGTTTTTAAAAACAGTTTTGTAAAATCAAGCTATGAAGCAATCTTTATTATTTTCAAATTTTAAAAACTAAAATAATTTTACAAAACCAAATCAAATAAGACTAAAAATTTCTTTTTAAGAATGTCAAAGATTTTGTTTCACTTCATACATAGCTAATGATAACAACAATAAAGATTATCAATACAAAATTTAAATTGCACAAATAAATGAAACTAAATTCCATGAAGACACTAAAAAGGTAAACAAATTCTTATTTACACAGCTCAAAATTATTCTCGTATAGAAACTAATTCAACATGATTGATTCTATAGAGTCAATCATTATGTTATTCGGGACTGTGACTCAGCTCTCTTGTCAAAGCCACCTGTTAGGATAATTTTCTTGGTGCAGGTTTTCAAAGCTAGGAAGCTAGAAGTAGCAACACAAGTAACAACTTAATTTAAGCCAACATTTACACAGCTTTATTGTGCTAACATTGATAGTTTCCAATTTTTACAACTAGTAACAGTGGCGTAACAAAATAATATCAACTTGAGAATAAAACTTAACCAAGCATTGACAATTAATATTTGTCAACAGAGCTACAATCCTTCTAGAAATCAGCTCAAACATAATAAAGCAACTACTATGAACCCCTTTGGGATCCTCTAGCTATGTACATAAAATAAATAGAAAAATAACAATGCTCAACTTCGTGGATACATTGATATCATATTCCCAAACTGTTTTTAGTTTGGCCTTGATGGATCCTCATATAATATGGATTTGAATTTTTGTGGTAAGATATTCACGCTTCATGCAGTCAGTATGTTGGTGGCCGTTGGATCGACACTGGAGTTAGTTCAGATTTTAATTTTAATTTTAATTTTAATTTCAAAAACTGATATACCGTTCTTGGAAGATCTCAATCCAATGGCCATCAACGAGCTAACTGTGAATGCGTAGATTGTTGACCGCAGCAAATCCAAATCTCACATCATATCAATGAGGAGGTATTCTGATTATTAGGAAAACATTAGTAATCTGTTATGGATCTTCTTCGGAAAACGTGCATGTGGAAAGGAAATAATACTTATTCCGTAGCATAGGATTTCCCCATCGGTTTGTGCCAACTCAGTATTGTGACATCTATTTCCGAGGAACAGAAAGCGAGGGAAGATTACACTAAACAGCAATGACATCCGCATTTTGGTTGTCCTCACATGTCATGATAAGACCTTCAACGTTGGTTGGCAAAAGGCAGCGGCTCCATTGACAACCAGTTGAGGCAGGCTCTGTTGGAGGAACAATCATGAGCACGTTCTCGTGTCGACGGACTACTCCCATCACACTTACTGTGCTTCCTTCTTTGACGTACCTGTATATTCCCCAAATAGAAGCGAAACTGTATAAGAAAATACCTAGGAACATGAGGAAAATGGTAAATTTCACTCTCCCTATTGCAGTATCTAGACGTCTTTCTTTTCATCTTTTTATTACTTAATATATGTTTTCCAGAGGATTTTCCTTTGTTGCAAGGCAAAGAGCCCCTTTTTTGTTGGATAAATATTATTAGAAGATTTTCAGTTCCTATCAAACTAACTCAAGCAGTAATCCGTAGAATAATGATAGACCGTACCCTTCCTTGAGGCGCATTATTCGGTCATCAGTAGAGAGTTTGCGGTCGGCAAGCCAGCCTAAGAAGTTTGGAGATAACTCTCTGTTCTCCTTTGTAACATCAACGACAGTAGTGGGTTCCACGAAAGGAGCAACTTTGGCACCATAGCCTGCTTTCACTAATGCTCTTAACCCGGTCTGGAAATCTGATATGTAGAAGTCTGCTATGTATTTCTGCTCATAGAAAATTATTAAATTATTGTCATTATGCATCGTAAGTGAGGCAAACTAACCATACACTAATCAAGAAGCAAGACAGAACCAACCAACCACAGAAGTTTCTGTATTTGGAGTTTATTGACTCTTAAAACAGGCCTACACACAAAAAAATACTTGCACCCAAATATCTTTGAACTGTGCATTTGAAGATAGTATCAATTTGAGATTCAAATCTTGAATCAAAAGACCTATTTTTGAATCACGCGTTGAACTTTATTATGAATCGTAAAAACAGTAAGATACATTACCAATAAAAAACAGGACATTTATAAGCAAAAACAAATGACATAAAATTATAAGCTGATATATCATAAATGAACCTCAACATTTCATGTCATAATCAAATGACAAGAAAAGTGGCTATACAGAGTAGACAACCAAAAGAAGCTGACTACACTGAGTTTAGATAGTGATAATTGAGATCCATCATTCATCATAGCGAATCAAGATTCATCATAATAAATCAGGATTCAAGATGAGATTCATGTCCAAAATAGATACACTAGAATCAACTGGGTTGAATTTTGCATCAAATTGAGATAGGAGATAGACTCACATACTATATTGTAAGATACTGATAAGCATGTGTATAACAATAATCTAATGTTTTGGGTCTTTGTCCTGGCAATACTGATAAGTATGTTAATTTTATTTAGTCCTTGCATTTATGGCTTTCACATCTTAGGTGGATCGGTGCTGCTACTGCTGGGCAGCACCAGTGATGGACAGTGGGGCTTGATCCTGCTGAAAGTCTGTGATCGGCGGTGTGCTCTTTAAGATTGGTTGAAATAAGCTATTTTGCTTTTAAGTGAGCATCTGCAGTACTTTTTTTGCTAATCGTATTTCATGGAATCAACAATTTCAGTTTCATTTGGCTATGGTGACGTGATATTTAATATGGATATGTATAGAAACATCTTCTGTTTAAATAGTGAACATACAGCGGCATCATTATATATCAACAGATCTTACCTAAATTTAATTATTATTCCTTAAGCATCTTGTCATTCTATGTCATTTGAATTAACAAAGGTTTATTTGTGTCCGTGACGCCAGACTCTTATCAAACTGAGTATAATCCTCCCTATCAGTACATATAAATCATCAATAAAGTTGTCGAACAAACTAACCTCAGAGTATCTAGAACCCCAAGTAAGGCAACGATGTTTAGAATTCGCTGATTTTCCACCCCATCCTTTATATTCATATAATTCTGTGGAGACATATACACATCTAGATACTCTTTGATAAGATGACTCCAAAGGAATACTGCCACAAGTTACAACCTACAAAAAGGGGAAAAAGTAAGTATAAAAATATACAAACAAAGGAGTCATGCCAAGTTCTTCCCCTCCAGCCAACCCTATTAAACTCTATATTTCTCACTCATATCACTCCAGAACTATAACAATAAGGTGTCAGCTCAACGATAAGGAGTCTGACCTTGTAATCTTAATGGAAGAAGTTCAAATCCCTTTAGGGACTGTTGTAAAATGACTATTAGTAGCACTTATAATTTCCAAAAACAAAACTATATCAATAAGGAAACAGTGCCATATAAGACTATAAAAGCTTAAAGTTATTAGGGAGGAAGAAAATGTATGGAAAATGACCATATGTTTTATAGGACAAACATGCATAGAATGCAGTATAGGACATAATCATCAACCCAAACAGACGAATCCCATTTGGGTACATCACAGTGCTAATGTAAGGAAATGAAGTAAGAATTAAGAGTACGAGTACATCCTATTCGGAAGGAAATATAATAAAACACCCGAAGCACTTACACAGTTACACCTCTAATTGAAAGTGTGTCCAGTGTCTGACACGACAACAAATCATGTCATTGCATTCAATTAAATAATTTTCTTAAATTATTACCACTGTCATGTTCAATGTTCGTGTATGTGCTTCATAGACAAAAACATCTAAGAATATAACAACCTTACTAGCATGATATATCCATAATGTCTAGCAAAAGTTTCTTTTCCTGCAGCCTGCTACTTAAACGGCCACATGAAAAATATTAGGTGTGAAGAGTGATTCAAAAATGATTTCATAAATGCTATGCAATTCTATAGCAATGCGAACTTCCCAAAAATATCACAAAACATCAGAACCCGAAAAGCCAATGTTAATAACTAAATATCCATTTTTCAAAAACAAACTTTTTCACATGGTATGGATTTTAGGTACAACAACAACCAATCTTTATCCCACTAAATGGGCCGTCTACATGATCAATTTTTGTCATAATGTTCTATTCAGGACCATGCTTCTATCCAAATCATTAATCTCAAATCTTTCTTGATAACTTCTCTTATAGTTTTTTTAGGTCTTCTTCTACCTCTAGTTTGACTCCTATCCATCTGATCTGCTCTCTTTACCACATAATCTACCTGTCTTCTGATATGAAATGGCATGCATTTTTGGTAACAAAGCAAAAAGCTTCCTAACTCAGACATTCTTAGAGAAGCAAATATCTGATCCTTATTTAGTTAATTGACCACATAAATGCACATCAGATATCATTATTATTCCTTAACATCATCTACACGCCTAATTCAAGTGGTCACCATAATCACCACTTTAAATGGAATAAGAAAAACATTCCCCAAAATGCAAGTTAACTCCAACCTTTCAAGCCATGATTTTCGCCCCTGCTAATCATTTTGTAATACCAATAATAGAGCATATCTATACATTATAAACATCATTTACTGACTATGTTCTTTTACAAAAAGCAAAATTCATAGCTTAAATACTGATATTGGACATTCCAGCAACCCCTACCTAGATAGAGCCATCAATGTATAGGTCAACTACACAGGAAAAGTCTCAATCAAACATCAAGCCAAATTCATTCCCCATCAAATATAGTAAGTATCAAATCCATACCAAGAAAATCTCATACCTAACAATAAATTAATAAATTATTTGAATATAATAATAAACAAACCAACCTCTCCATAGACTCTCCTAATCCAAATCCAATAAAACAAATAACATAAAGAAAAGAAAGCATGATCAGAATCAAACATTAAACAATGTGAACTAAACAGAACTAAATAAATAATCATAAAAATGAGATACATACCAATATAATAGTATGATTCTGCAAAAGGGAAAAGATTGAGAAAGAAAATTACCCCAGTAACCTTAACATACTGTCCATCAGTGGCACCTCTAAGTTCAGCATCAGGATACCTTTTAACAAACCCTAAAAGCCCTTTTCTTCCCCAAACACAATTCCAAGTAATCAAAACAACAACAGGCACAATAATCCCTCCAAGTGCAAACAAGATCACCGGTTTCTTCACAGCCACCATCAAAAACACTCCAACAAGCAAACACATTGCAACCACCACCATAAAAATCCACACCACCGCCCTCGAAACCCTAAACCCAACTTTCACTTCATCACCCAAACTCGTCACCGCCGAACCATAAACCGCTTTCCCTGCTCCAACCGAACCGGGTTGCTCCAGCTGACCCGACCGCCTACTCACATTAATCGGACCGGATCCCACTGGTCCCGACGTAATTAACCCAGTCGGCTGCAACGCTATCGGTCCAGAGCCCGTGGACTTCCTTGACATATTACCCGAACCGCTATTCCTTCCAATTTGACCCGAACCGCTATTCCTCCCCATTGGACCCGAATTCGGTCTGGATCTCACCTGACCACTGTTGTGCTGAGAGGAAGAAGACGGATTCGAAGATTTAGGATCCAATCCAGGGATATCAAGCATTTTACCGAGCTCGCCAGATTTCTTCGGGTCACCGCCTGTGTACGGAACAGAACGCGACGACATTGTCGGTAACCGCTCCTTCGGCTGTTCGGGTCGACCCGAAACATACAGTCCACTGCTTAACTGATGCGAAGGGATTCGAGTCCCCATTGAGAAAGCGAGAAGCTTTCAGAGAGTCTGAAACTCTTGTTTTTCCTCTTCGCTTTTTGCAGTTACTGTTACACTGTTTTTGATGCGAGTGAGTGTGTGTGTGAGAGTGTGTGAAGGTAAGAAGCACTACTAAGTGGGGAAGGTTCAACGGAATTATAGAAATGGGAATCAGTTTTGTGGAAATGACATATATGTCCACGTTTTGGTATTGTATTTTTATAAGATTCTATGGTTTTAGTTGAGGGTGAGATGGGTAAATCAAAATTTGTTGTTGTTGTCGTCCCACGCTCTAATGATTTTTACATTCTTACCCTTTTTATTAATGTATCTTTTTGTTTTCCTTTTTATTCTTTTGAAACAAACTTTATATCTTTTCTTGCTTTACTTTCTGCACCTTATCTCCTAAATACGGTAATAGTTAATAATGTTGAATGTTATTAATGTTCTAAGCTCCTTATTTTCTTGGATAGAAAATTGTGTTGTAATAATTTTTGACAAACAATGTTTTATATTATGATGCAATCTTTTTGGATTGAATTTGAAAGAAATAACTATTCAATTTAAAGGTGATATACGCTGCAACTGATTTCAATTTGGATGACTATTTTTAAAATATTATTTAGTTAAATGTGTTTTAATTTGGATATCTTTTTAGTTGATCTAAGTTATAATTATAAATAAATTCATTAATATTGATCATGGAAAGTTGGTAGTTTAATGTAAAATATAATATAGGTGAGTGGGGCAACTCAATTAGCAATTGTTAATTGGGTTAAAGCGTAACAAGGTATTTGTCTATGATTTAACTCTCGATATCAGAGATTGTTAATACTTATAAATAAAAATTTTACCTCATACCCCTACAATTATACCTATACCCCTACACTAAAATCTTTTGGATCAAAATACCCTCATATAAAAAGTTATAATTTTTTGGTTTGTTTACCGGAAGACTTTTTGGAAGTCTTCTGATTCACATTTTTTTTTGGTTTGTTTACCGGAAGACTTTTTGAAAGTCTTTCGGTTTACATTTTTTTTAGTTTGTTTACCGGAAGATTTTTTGTAGTCTTCCGGTTCACATTTTTTTGGTTTGTTTAACAGAATACTTCCAAAAAGTCTTTCAGTTCATGTTTATTATTATTTTTTTTAATTTTTAATTTTTTTTAATATTCAAATTACAAATAAATTTATTCTATTTACTCTATTTTAGTTAATTAATATATTTATTCTATTTACTCTATTTATTCTATTTATTTATTTAATAATAATTATTTCACTAATTTGATTTTTTATTAATTTATTCTTATTTATTTACTTAATAATAATTACTCCACTAATTTGGTATTGTTTTTTTTAATCAATAAAAATAAAAGTTGTTAACTAATTTAACTAATTTAATCAATAAAAATAAAAGTTGTTCTTTAAAGAGAAAATTAACAATTTAATAATATGTTTATATGAAAAATAAAAATAAATATCATATTTAAATTATAATCCTATCATTTCTTCTATTAAAAAATTTCACCAAAAAATTATAATATATAACATTTATAATTATTTAAACAATATTTTATGGGGTAAAATATTAACTTTTAAAAATATATTTTATAGGGTAAAATATACTTTTAAAAATTTTCACCATAAAATATTAACTTTTAAAATTTGTAGGGGTAAAATATTTTATGGGGTAAAATATTAACATTTAAAATATTAAAAACTAATTAAATCATAAATTAACTAAAATATATTAATTAACTAAAATAGAGTAAATAGAATAAATATATTTGTAATTTGAATATTAAAAAAAATTAAAAATTAAAAAAAATAATAATAAACATGAACCGGAAGACTTCCAAAAAATCTTCCGGTAAACAAATCAAAAAAATGTGAACCGGAAGACTTTCAAAAAAGTCTTCCGGTAAACAAATTAAAAAAATGTAAATTGGAAGACTTCCAAAACGTCTTCCGATAAACAAACCAAAAAAATGTGAACCCGAAGACTTCCAAAAATTCTTCTGGTAAACAAACCAAAAAATTATAACTTTTCATACGAGGGTATTTTGGTCTAAAAAATTTTAGTGTAGGGGTATGGGGTAAAATTTCCCTTATAAATAAGCACCTTTAAAAAAAAGATATATTAAAAATAATAATGGTGATTGTTATGTTTCGATAAATCAACTCAATTAATAATTATATATAGACATTAATGATATGGATGCGGGTTTGAACTCATAATATTTTTTTTATTTATTTTAAAATATTAAACTTTGATCATTAGGCTATTAAAAAAATTAACAAAAAATAATAATATAATTGTTATGTTTTAAATATATATAAAATAGTATAAAAGAATTAATCTAATAAATATGTTTAAAATATAAAAATCAATAAATAATATTTTTGATCCAATGGCTTATAACAATGAAAAAATATTAAAACTCGTGTATGTATTTTTGTTTTGTTCAATTTAGAAAAATAAACGTATGAAATTTGATTTGAGCAATTTTTATAAAATGGCATCTAAAGTGTTCAATAGTATTTTGTTTTGTGGGATTTTAAATTTTTTAAAAATAAATTTGTAATTTTAATTGGATGATTTGAATGAAAAGACATTTAGTGATGATGTGTGATAAGATTGTACTCATAAAAGTACATCAATAATTGTTAAGTCAAGTTTTTATTCATTTCGTTTTATTATCATTTAACTTATGTTAGGTTGTTTTCATTGTATTTTTGGAGTAAGAAAATGAGTGATATATCAAAGCTATTTAAGATATGGAAGAACTAAACACGAGAAATATCTTAATGATCTATTGTCAGTACACAGGTCAAAAACAATTTATAAAATGGGTAGTATAAAAAAGCGACATTCAAGTCGTGTTGCAAGAACTCTTAATTAATTTAACTGGAAAAAAAAAACAAATGGGAGGTTAAGATTATCGGATAATTGAAATTAAAAAGAATAGTTACGATTATGATTAACCGATTAATCTAATGATTTAGTAATTTCTGACTTATCATTAACTATTGTATTGTCAACTCCCTAATTGAATTCCAAATCCCATTTGATTATAGTATCAATTAAATAAACGTTATCAACAGTGTGTAAATTATATTATGTTCTGGCCTGGGCCCCAACCTGACCACGCAGGCCCAACCCAATAATATTCTGCCAAGCCCAGTCCAGCTTGGGCCACAGGGTCCCCGACGAGCAGGAAATGTCCCCCCGCGGGCAGGACCTGCCTCAACTACGTCGGGCAGGAAACTCCTCTTTCGACCAAACACTGCCCTCTCCGCGGGCAGGACCTACCCTCCACGGGCAGAACCTGCTCCCCTGTTGGGCTGGACAATGTGTCCCTCACACGTTCTCCACGTGCTCCCCTCCGCGGGGACACGTCACTAACCAACTGCCCACCCCCAAAAGAGCAGGTCAAACCCACTTTCTGGAGATCGCGGGACATTTGAACTAGGGTGAAGACCACGTCCTGGTCTTCACTACGCCACGTAAGCCCTAACAATCACCTGGGTTGGGCCTGGAAATCCAGCCCAACACAAGTGACCATTGGCTCAGCGCTGGGGTCTCTCTATAAATACCCTTTTTCACAATAGGGTCAGGTAATTCTCATCTTACCCATTTTCTGTATTTGCTCTCACTCTGCCAATTCCTTACTTTGCCATCAGAGTGTCTTGCAGGTACACCCCCTCCTCCTCTTCAACACCGGTGAGCAGGCAGCAGATCAACGGCGTGTGGCAAGTCCTTGGTCCCCTTCTGATAAGGCCAGATGATATTCTTATTTGTCGCATTAAGTATGATGGTTAAAGATAGGCTAAGTTAATGAATAAACTATGTTAACACGATATTAGATTAGGGACATGCATCAATCAAATTTAATCAATCACATTCTATAATACTCGAATTAAGCATATAATATACAAAGAACACAATTGAAAAGGAATTCAATAAAAACTGGACAGTATAATAACCTTAAAGTCTTGTGAAATTCCGAAACAGAAGATTAACCTTGTGGCTTTTAGCTCACCATAGAATCCTAATGCTCTCTTTTCTCAATCGTGAAAATTGTGTGACAAACCTAATGTTGCGAATTTTCTTAAGTAATGACGAAAATTAGGCTCTAAGAGCACTGAGCCGAAAAAAATAAGTTGGACTCAAACTAACTAATTTATTTTTATTAAGTCTAGAATGTAAACTAAATATTTGACTACTTTGCACTCCGAGCTGACTTCTGACTTCAACATGAAACTTGTAGCTTTTTGCCTTAACTTTCCAACGCATATTTGCACGCATCAATCAAATACTCGTAGCTCAAATTATGATCTGCATAGTAAAAAGGTACCAAAATACAACTTATTCCAAAAATAAACAACATAAATAAAATTTAATTTAATTTAAACTTGACTTTAAGAGCACACTAAAAGCAATAAAATAAAACAAGAAGTTTTAGAATTGTTGTAACACAAAGTAAAAGAGGGTGTATTAAAATACACTAATCACTTAACATCTCGAAGAAACTGAGGAAGAATGAAGCAAGTTTGGCACAAAACAGTTGAAATTACGGTCATGTCGCAATGGTTATTACAGTCATAATGTTCTCAGATCCTCATGAGTGGAACAAGCAAGGTTTTTAGTCAAAACAACTAGAATTACGGCCTTCCCATAATGACCATTACAGTCGTAATGCCTTTAGGACCTCTTAGTTTTATTATGTTTTATTATTTCGTTTTTATGCTCTCTGTTACGAGCTTTTTATTTTTATTTTATTTATTGTGTTTTAAACCTACTTGTTAGTAGTTATTGAGGGATTAATGTACTTGATTTAGCTTTAGTATGGCATTCTCAACTTCTATCAATAGCTCTTTTGCGACCAGACTATGAATATTAACTTGATTTACATTAAAAAATGACTGGGTACAAGCCTTCTGATTAGATCTGAAGTTATTCAATATCAGGAATGAGACCGACATGATATTGGAGATGTGTG